CATTTAGACGATCCAAACCTTGGTGTGAATAGCACCTTAAGGTTAGAATTTAGAAGACCCAAACCTTAGTGTGAAGAGCACTTTAAGGTCGGAATTTAGACGATCAAGACCTTAGTGTGAAGAGCACTTTAAGGTCGGAATTTAGACGATCAACACCTTGGTGCAACGAGCACTTTAAGGTCGGCATTTTGACTATCCAAACCTTGGAGCGAAGAGCACTTTAAGATCGGCATTTAGACGATCCAAACCTTGGTGTGAAGAGCACCTTAATGTTAGAATTTAGAAGACCCAAACCTTAGTGTGAAGAGCACTTTAAGGTCGGAATTTAGACGATCAAGACCTTAGTGTGAAGAGCACTTTAAGGTTGGGATTTAGACGATCAAGACCTTGGTGCAACGAGCACTTTAAGGTCGGCATTTTGACGATCAAGACCTTAGTGTGAAGAGCACTTTAAGGTCGAAATTTAGACGATCAACATAAATCAAGTCAAACGGTGTGCCCCAAGTTGCAACCCAAAGTAGGTCAATAAAATGCCTACGTGACATGCTCTTCACACCTTAGTGCTTGAGCATGGAGGGCTATGTACCATGAAGGTCTTCCACAGACCGACCAAAGCAGGTCGGCAAAATGTTGACCCAACATGCTCTTCGCACTTTAGTGCTTGAGCATGGAGGGCTATGTACCATGGTGGTCTCCTATTGGCCGACCCGAGGCACATCGACAAAATGCACCATGGAGGTCCCCCAAAAACCAATCAAACCGAACCTACGCAATACCGACCCAACATGCTCTTCGCACTTTAGTGCTTGAGCATGGAGGGCTATGTACCATGGTGGTCTCCCATTGGCCGACCCGAGGCACATCGACAAAATGCACCATGGAGGTCCCCCAAAAACCAATCAAACCGAACCTACGCAATACCGACCCAACATGTTCTTCGCACTTTAGTGCTTGAGCATGGAGGGCTATGTACCTTGGTGGTCTCCCATTGGCTGACCCGAGGCACATCGACAAAATGCACCATGGAGGTCCCCCAAAAATTGATCAAACCGAACCTACGCAATACCGATCCAACATGTTCTTCGCACTTTAGTGCTTGAGCAGGGAGGGCTATGTGCCTTGGTGGTCTCCCATTGGCTGACCCGAGGCACATCGACAAAATGCACCATGGAGGTCCCCCAAAAATTGATCAAACCGAACCTACGCAATACCGATCCAACATGTTCTTCGCACTTTAGTGCTTGAGCAGGGAGGGCTATGTGCCTTGGTGGTCTCCCATTGGCTGACCCGAGGCACATCGACAAAATGCACCATGGAGGTCCCCCAAAAATTGATCAAACCGAACCTACGCAATACCGATCCAACATGTTCTTCGCACTTTAGTGCTTGAGCAGGGAGGGCTATGTGCCTTGGTGGTCTCCCATTGGCTGACCCGAGGCACATCGACAAAATGCACCATGGAGGTCCCCCAAAAATTGATCAAACCGAACCTACGCAATACCGATCCAACATGTTCTTCGCACTTTAGTGCTTGAGCAGGGAGGGCTATGTGCCTTGGTGGTCTCCCATTGGCTGACCCGAGGCACATCGACAAAATGCACCATGGAGGTCCCCCAAAAATTGATCAAACCGAACCTACGCAATACCGATCCAACATGTTCTTCGCACTTTAGTGCTTGAGCAGGGAGGGCTATGTGCCTTGGTGGTCTCCCATTGGCTGACCCGAGGCACATCGACAAAATGCACCATGGAGGTCCCCCAAAAATTGATCAAACCGAACCTACGCAATACCGATCCAACATGTTCTTCGCACTTTAGTGCTTGAGCAGGGAGGGCTATGTGCCTTGGTGGTCTCCCATTGGCTGACCCGAGGCACATCGACAAAATGCACCATGGAGGTCCCCCAAAAATTGATCAAACCGAACCTACGCAATACCGATCCAACATGTTCTTCGCACTTTAGTGCTTGAGCAGGGAGGGCTATGTGCCTTGGTGGTCTCCCATTGGCTGACCCGAGGCACATCGACAAAATGCACCATGGAGGTCCCCCAAAAATTGATCAAACCGAACCTACGCAATACCGATCCAACATGTTCTTCGCACTTTAGTGCTTGAGCAGGGAGGGCTATGTGCCTTGGTGGTCTCCCATTGGCTGACCCGAGGCACATCGACAAAATGCACCATGGAGGTCCCCCAAAAATTGATCAAACCGAACCTACGCAATACCGATCCAACATGTTCTTCGCACTTTAGTGCTTGAGCAGGGAGGGCTATGTGCCTTGGTGGTCTCCCATTGGCTGACCCGAGGCACATCGACAAAATGCACCATGGAGGTCCCCCAAAAATTGATCAAACCGAACCTACGCAATACCGATCCAACATGTTCTTCGCACTTTAGTGCTTGAGCAGGGAGGGCTATGTGCCTTGGTGGTCTCCCATTGGCTGACCCGAGGCACATCGACAAAATGCACCATGGAGGTCCCCCAAAAATTGATCAAACCGAACCTACGCAATACCGATCCAACATGTTCTTCGCACTTTAGTGCTTGAGCAGGGAGGGCTATGTGCCTTGGTGGTCTCCCATTGGCTGACCCGAGGCACATCGACAAAATGCACCATGGAGGTCCCCCAAAAATTGATCAAACCGAACCTACGCAATACCGATCCAACATGTTCTTCGCACTTTAGTGCTTGAGCAGGGAGGGCTATGTGCCTTGGTGGTCTCCCATTGGCTGACCCGAGGCACATCGACAAAATGCACCATGGAGGTCCCCCAAAAATTGATCAAACCGAACCTACGCAATACCGATCCAACATGTTCTTCGCACTTTAGTGCTTGAGCAGGGAGGGCTATGTGCCTTGGTGGTCTCCCATTGGCTGACCCGAGGCACATCGACAAAATGCACCATGGAGGTCCCCCAAAAATTGATCAAACCGAACCTACGCAATACCGATCCAACATGTTCTTCGCACTTTAGTGCTTGAGCAGGGAGGGCTATGTGCCTTGGTGGTCTCCCATTGGCTGACCCGAGGCACATCGACAAAATGCACCATGGAGGTCCCCCAAAAATTGATCAAACCGAACCTACGCAATACCGATCCAACATGTTCTTCGCACTTTAGTGCTTGAGCAGGGAGGGCTATGTGCCTTGGTGGTCTCCCATTGGCTGACCCGAGGCACATCGACAAAATGCACCATGGAGGTCCCCCAAAAATTGATCAAACCGAACCTACGCAATACCGATCCAACATGTTCTTCGCACTTTAGTGCTTGAGCAGGGAGGGCTATGTGCCTTGGTGGTCTCCCATTGGCTGACCCGAGGCACATCGACAAAATGCACCATGGAGGTCCCCCAAAAATTGATCAAACCGAACCTACGCAATACCGATCCAACATGCTCTTCGCACTTTAGTGCTTGAGCATGGAGGGCTATGTACCGTGGTGGTCTCCCATTGGCCGACCCGAGGCACATCGACAAAATGCACCATGGAGGTCCCCCAAAAATTGATCAAACCGAACCTACGCAATACCGACCCAACATGCTCTTCGCACTTTAGTGCTTGAGCATGGAGGGCTATGTACCGTGGTGGTCTCCCATTGGCCGACCCGAGGCACATCGACAAAATGCACCATGGAGGTCCCCCAAAAACCGATCAAACCGAACCTACGCAATACCGATCCAACATGCTCTTCGCACTTTAGTGCATGAGCAGGAGTGCTATGTACTGTGGTGGTCTCCCATTGGCCGACCCGAGGCACATCGACAAAATGCACCATGGAGGTCCCCCAAAAACCAATCAAACCGAACCTACGCAATACCAACCTAACATGCTCTTCGCACTTTAGTGCATGAGCAGGAGTGCTATGTACTGTGGTGGTCTCCCATTGGCCGACCCGAGGCACATCGACAAAATGCACCATGGAGGTCCCCCAAAAACCGATCAAATCGAACCTACGCAATACCGACCCAACATGCTCTTCGCACTTGAGTGCATGAGCAGGAGTGCTATGTACTGTGGTGGTCTCCCATTGGCCGACCCGAGGCACATCGACAAAATGCCGAGCCCATAATAGGGACCCAAATATGGGAAGATTCATTGGCTCACTCAAACAATCAATAAGATCCCACAATCCGTGGGAACGGTAATAAATACCGGGAGTTACGAGTCCACAATGGGACGTGATTTATGAGATCATAAAGAGGAGTGTGCGATTCATGTCTGTAACGCTACACCATTATATATAGCAATGATTAGGTCTAAGAAAGTAGGTTACTCTCATCAAATGTTATAGGTTAAGACTGCTGTCAAGTTCTTTTAGCTTGATATCGCTAAAGGTTCTTCGGCGGCGGTCTCCAATACCGGAACAATTTCCTTATTTACTCATTAGTTTCCACTCATTTGATTCCCTTGTATAGTAAAAACCAATTGATCGGACCACCAAAGGTCGACTCAAAAGCCTATGAAAAATACATAATGTCGTTCGAGTTCGAAAGAACAAATATAATATGCATATATATATATATATATATTTCTTAAAAAAAATTAAAACATAAAAACAAATATAATATGTATTAAATAATATATAAATTTTTACATTGATTAATTTTATAAACTACTAATAGGCCTAAGCAATATGTATTTTTACATTTTATTTAATAAGAATGTTTATAAAAAATATAAATATTTATTGAATTAACTAGTATTACACCTAGTTCTCAATCTTTAAGGTCTTGATTTCAAATTTTAAATTTGTAAATATAATTAATTTTTAGTATTTAAAAATTTTGAAGATAAAATCGTCTAAAAAAAATATGTACACCAAATATGATTATTACCTTTATATAAGTAATAAAATAGATTTTTTAAAAAAAAAAAAAGCAAACAAGTTCGTTGCATTTAATTCATAAAAAGTATAAAAGAAATACATGTGAGTAAATGGATCAAAATTGTGATGATTTTGACGCTTTAACTAGTAAGTGGATGATAAAATTGATTGACCCTCTTAACTAGGAATAAGAATAGGTATCAACACTTGTTAACATACGTGGTAATATTTTGTATCTTTTAACTAATTTTTAGACACAAGGAAAATATTCACTTTGTGTGAATATTCACGATTCTTAACGGGATTAATCTCTATTTTTAGTTGAGAATACTTAATTCCAATATCATATTAAAAAAAACAGAATAAAAATATGAATTTGTAATACTACAGTATTTAATAAAAAAATATATACATAAATAATATTTAAAAAAATTATTTTTGAACAAATAATTGTCTTTATCTTAAGAAAAATAATTAACCTTAATGTTCTCCGAACTAACATTTTCTCATATATCTAAAGTTATACCAGTCATCTATGAATTAATATGTTCTTTTTCATGTCTTTAAGTTTAAATAATATGTTCAAAATTATGATCTCCATTTACCGGTAGCACTGAAAATGAAGATCCATTCACTTATTTAATTGGGAATTCAGCAAAATAACATTCTTTGTAAAGAAGAAAGTTATATAGTGTTACATCAAAATACTAATACAAGTAGAATTTGTGTCTTAAATATAAATAAATGTGTAATATTATTAGTCGTGAAGTGTTATAGTTATTTTAAGTCATTTTTATATTGTTAAGTTGGATTTTTATAGTGTTGAGAGACTTTGGGGTTAAGGATCCCTTAAGAATTTTAGCAATGTTAGGAATTTATTAGACAAAGGGTCAGTTTGACCCGAAAGAAAAAGTATATTAAGTTTCTATTTAGAATAAAGTCTCGTAAATTTAAGTTCTTCAAATTCGAGAGAGAAGTGCTATGGTCTATGAGTTTCCTTCAACTCCAAATCCTATATAATTTTCACATTTTAAAATCTTGGAATGATTTTATTATGTCACGGATGAAAACATTATTCCTACATAAATTACTAAACAATCATTCAAACGTTGGCTTTCAGGGTTCTATTGGCAAGGGCTCCATTTATTGCTAAGAGAAGCCGTCCTGACTTCTTCAAACCTTCAAAGAGAAAGTTTGGGAAATTGAAGGAGTCTTACATGTACAATCCTTGTGAGGTCCCTGTTGTCCAAGATGGAGTTCGTGGGGCTTCATGTCCAAGATGTGATATAACAAAACGTTCCATTTTAATTTTTTTTTTCCTCGATTCCACCTGTTTTTCTGAAACTAAAATGTATATATCATGTTCGATTCTGTCGTATTTCGTTATATTAAATTGTTCAGATGCAAGTGTTTGCTGGGCCTCTCGGGATTGTGGTCTATTGGGGTCTTTGCTTCTGGGTCTTTTGTACTGTTGCATAAAATAAAACCGCCAAAAAAAAATAGTGGTTAAGGGTTCTGGGTCTTTTGTACTTACCAAAAATGACCTTACGATGATACATATTTTAAAGTCACATAACTTACATATTTTACTGTAAACATTAATTATTAACGAAAATATATAATAATCATTATTCATTTTTCCATACACTGAAAAAACATTATTCATTTTACATAAAAAAAAAGGACTCATTTAATATGTATCCTGCGTGAGCCCTCATAAGCCTACCATGGACTAGCAGATCAAGAAATCCAGACCATACTGGGATAGGTTTGGGTTTTATTTGGTACATGACTTGTTCTTCTTCCCTAATTCAATTCAGAAACCAATTTTCAGCTAATGCAAATTTGGCAATTCGGTAGGTTTTTCTCTTTCCTTATCAACGCATAAACAATCATACTGCCCATTAAAATGATCCGCACCTAACATATAGACAGTATATAAATGAAAACTGTGTTACGTATTATGTAAATTAGGCCTTGCTTATCCAACTTTCATAGAACATCATGATTTCTATTTGCATTTCAACTTTTTAAATGTTACAAAACCTCTACTAACAAATAGAAAAAAGAAAAAATATGTATAAAAGTTCAAAGAGAATGGGAGACGAAAACGTAAAGATGATGTACAAAATTATGATTTACAAATTAAGAGGGTTCCCAGCTTGTAAGAAGTGATTCAAGGGGGACAAGAAAGTGTTGTCAATATTTGGGGAAGCACGCTATGGGGAACAGCCATCAGATCAGATTACCCTGCCATTAGTGCCACATTAATAGGTTTCTCTAATTAAAAGAAACAATTTAAGATAGGAAACAGAAGAAGCTAGCATTGTCCTCAAAAGCTACCAGAATAACAATGGGGTGTTATCGTGAAAGCAAGATAGGCCCATTCTCCGCAGCAGTGTGAGCATTGCCATAATTGTTATTGTTATGCCTTGTCATCTGGATGTCACGTGAAAACTGGGTCCTTGCTTTCGCATACGGAGCTGCTCTTGCTGCAAAAGAAAATCGTAATTTCTCAATGCTTAGCAAGGTCATTTCACTTATTCGTGGGCTTTTCTCATTTTTCCTAATTCAACCAAAGTTTGAAGTAACAAATTTCCCTCAAATTCGAATTTATTTTATCCTGGGAAACTAGTGTGAAACATAATGTATCTGTTTTTTTTAAAAAAACATTTTTTCAACCTTTTACATAATGTATCTGGTTGAAAACACCAGGATGTATAGAGACTAGAAAGAGGGGAAATAAAACTTGGGATGCGACTAGGTGGACCAAAAATAACACACTACATTACTGACGGTTTTACCAGGGGCAATGGTTAAAAAATCAACAGTGAAATTTTTTTAGTTGAGAAGTGACATTTATTATTACTAATATATTTTTAGCACAATTTCTAATATAAAAAAAATATTCGTTCATTTTTTATCCATTGCCTTTAGAGCGGGAATGATCAGTAAAACACATAACTAATTCTCATAACGCTTCCATATAAATGATTGTTTCTACTCGACGGAGTTCCCGTTAAGAACACTTCAATACAAACAATAAAACGCCGCCCACGAGCCCCTATATATATTAATGTCTTCGACTTCGAGTACAAGTTAACATTCTTACCAGTAATTTGCTGAACCCGGAGAATATTCTGCCGCCTTTTCCACCAGCAAACCGAACCGGTAATAAGAAGTAGAAAAGTAAAAGAAACACCTAACCCAATACCAACTTTAGCACCAGCAGAAAGGTGAGGTCCACAAGTAGGTAATCCAGGTATGCCGCATAGACCTGCATTATCAGTAAAACTGCAGCCATCCACAAGTGTAGATTTAGCAACCTTAATCACAGAGAAAGCGGAGGACTAGCACATTGACATGCTTCTCCTCCCATTGCATACAAATATTCTTTAAGTTTATTCTAGAGTTTAGCATTTGACAACATACTTAAAGCTAGCCCCATGCAGAAGTCTTCCTCCTAGTGTTGCTGGGACCCTTCCAGACAGGGAGTTGCCATTAAGGTTCCTGCAAGAAGACTTTTAATACAGACTTCTAATCCATTTATTTGCTTTATGGTCAAGGTAAACACTAAGAAATCTTACAGTCTTTGTAACAATGTCAATTGTCCAAGGCTTTCAGGAATTGATCCATTGAAAAAGTTGTAGGATATGTCACTGCATGTGTACATGGCATTCAGAAATCATATCACCATGATAGCCATAGCAAAGATTCAAAACTTCCCATAATTTAACAGTGAAGCTAAATAGCTAATCTCAGAGTTGTTTAAATCAAAGCATAAAGAAACTGAATTACAAGTAAATTACATAAGAGGAAAAGTTTCCCATTCACTTTCTGTTTGTTCTTTATTTTAGAGGCTTTAGCTTCATACATAGTTTTGGAGCAACCCAAACGCTTAAATCTAAGTAAGAAGCCCAAATAGTAAGTAGGATTTATGAAGATTAGGGACAACAAATGTGTATGTTGAGGAAAAAGTACATATACAAGTTCATTTTTCATGCCAAGTATATCTCGTCCCTTGGGTCTAACTAATGCCTCAAATTAAGGCCTCTAAGGTTTAATTCACACTGAAAATTTGAAGACATGATTTGAAGCCGAAGCCGACATGAATTCCTAATACACCTGTGCTGAAGATGAGAATCAGATATTGGCATTGTACCATATATTTTGTGACCTACGAAATAAAGACAAATACAGCAATTTGCCAAATGGACTGAGAAGAAGAAATCACTTACAGCACTTGCAAGCTAGTTATTTTTCCAAGTGAGGATGGAATAGCCCCACGAATGCTGTTTCCACTCAAGTTTCTACAATGTACAAGTAACATAAGCTCAATTAATATATTGAGTATCACTATATCAGTACTTCTCAATTGTCATGCAACTTGTTATTTGATAAGCAGGGCTTTATTTTGTTATCAACATATCGAGCACAACTCATACATCCCCACAATGCCACAACATAAATAATAATGTTTTCCCGAAAGGAAACTATTTAAAACTCACAGGATTTGTAGATTATGCAGTCTGGAAATGTCATTTGGCAAAAAACCCTTCAGACCTTGATTGTCAAGACCACTGCTCAGCAACAGATACAGCACCAAGTAATTAAATATTCAATACAGTTCTCAAAAGCAAAATACAATGGCATTGTACCCCAGTGATACAAACCTATTAGCTATGTGTGCAGAGTGGAGTTGTAAGTTTATTTTGACTGATGAATAAGATCAGGGCCCAAACTCCAAAGAAATTTAATAAAGGGGAGGGTCAAAGTAAGAGTTACTTCCTCAAAAAAGGAACATAAAAAGGGTGATTTCATAAGGCAAAAAAACTTAAACTTCCCAAATGAGTGAAGAAATTATGTATGGAGAAAAAAATTCATGCATCTGTGTTTGAATGGAAGTTAGCATTGCACCCAAAGGCTTATAGAGAAAGTCTTCTAACTTTATTTTATTTTTTCATGGGATTCATAATCGGAAACTCTGATGCAGAAGAAGTTTTGATTATTGGTTTCGGTACAAAAATAGAAGAAAAAAAATGAGAGAAAATTTAGTAAAAGAATTAACATGAGGAAGATTGAAATTAAAGGCTACCACATAACCAAACATACAATAAAAGCCTAAGAATAAGGATAATAAGAAATTACAGTCCATCAATGACCCATTTGCTGCTACTTTTGTCTAATCGGCAATCTGCACCAGTCCATGGATGTTGTTGGGGAACACATGGATCACCATTCCACCCAAACCTGGGAGGAAGCCCCAAAGCCTTCTTCAATGATTGTAAAGCCATAACTAGAGTAAAAGAACAAAGATCAACTAGCAAATTTTTATATGCATTTGGATTACAAAGAAATCACATTTGCTACAATAATAGTACATAAATAAGAGAAAAGTAAATAAACAGTATCATAAAGCAACAAACCAATACTAGGCTCAAATGTCATCTCTATGGAAGAGGAAGCAAAAACAAAAGTAGAAATCAGTTAAGGTAAAATGTGACAAGACAAAGAGACCTAAGAAGTATGATAATGCATCTAACAGTAGCAAGTACCGGCACATAATTTGGTCTAATGTATAAACAAATTCCATGTTGTATTGATAATGACCCACAGACCTAAATAATTGAGTATCATGAGGTGTGTTAATTAATATGAGGGAAAAGAGGGCAGGAAATGTATGATGCTATCACTGATAAATTCCTAAGAATGTAAATATTATTTCATTACTTGCCTTAAACCTGAACATAATCCAGATTGTATGAGGTTATTATGAATTCAAGTCTCCTCCATAGTCAACCCACATTTTATTTAATTACATGTTAAATATAACACATCAGTATTCAGTACGAAAATTCAAGCTGAAAAATACAGTGATGTACGTACCTTCATTTGATAATGTTTTTGACTCGGTCATTATTACCTCCAATATCTCTATGGCATTGATTATGGCAAAACTACCTTTTTTGGGACTCAATGTGATGGTCAAAGTCCTCCCATTAACAGTAACAGTAGTATTAAGCACAAGGGCAGTGTAACGATCCCCACTCAATTTCACAATGTCAATATCTTTAAAAGCAATATCACCGTTTATCATAATGTCGAAGACCCTTTGACCTTCAGCAGTCACTGAATTATCAATCTCCGCAAAATGTAACCAAACAGAATAGTTTTTGTTGGGATCAACGTCCAATGTATATGTTAATTCAGGCTGGCTACTAGTACTTACAAGTGCTGATCGATACAGAGTTTCTGGATAAAAATTTGGTGGATGTGATGCCTGTTTGATTCTAGTTTCAACAGATCTAGGTCGATCAGAATCCTCACCAAAAGTTTTAATATGATGCCAAAATCTGTCCCCTCCCCGGGGATCTGCACCATAATCCACACCATATTTTGACTGCCCAAAACCACAGCTCAGTCTTTTGACTGTTCTAAGTATTAACCCGCGATTCCACTGCGGTCCAAAATAATAAGCTTTATCATCAATTTGGAGAATCTCAATTGAAAGGATTGCTGGATCTCCATGACCTGTGCCATGGAAACAGATTGAGACTGAACCATCCGTAAGAAATACTTGGGCTTCAGTAAATGCTTGATCATCCTGACTGGTCCAACCTGATTTCAAAGAATATATTTGAGTTCCTTGAATTGAGATGTCAAATAGGGGTTCATTGGTAGCTCTAGCTTGTGCAACAAGTCCAAAAAAGATCCTGATTGAGTAGTGCCCCTTTGGAACTCTATTAATGTTGTAGCAATTTGAAGGACCTTCTGACAAGGGGAAATAGCGAAGAGTTTCAAGAGGGGGGGCAATGTAACTTGTTTTAGATGCATTAGTGGGAATGCCTCCTGTATATCCAAAGTCTTTATACCAAAGGGTAGTGGTTGGTTTTGTTTGAACATTATGACGAGCCCCACAGCTTATGCGCATAGCAAATGGCCCTGCAATGAAAATGAGGTTTCAGAAATTTAAATAAACTCAAAGGGGATAAAATATTTAGATTAAGAAAATCCTAATCCTTAAGCATATGTAAGCAATCATGGGGGTATCATTGACACTGAAATCCACCAAATAAACAGTAACTACTGCTTACTGCAAGTTCCACACTCATTTTGTAAATTGTCAATAGATTAGGTGCATACACACTCACAGAAGCACAAGTTGATCACATCCCTGAGATGTGGCTCGATTAAATCCAATTATCCAACAGTTGTGCAACGTGTGACCCCGATAAAGCAAGATTCACAAATCACGATAAACTGGCAAAGAGCCAACTCAAGGAATTTCCATACGTTACCAGTTCATACTGAGAATGGTGTATAATAAAATGGGAGGTAAACTTGGTTTGTTTTAGAGTTTCGACAATGTACTTCTAATATTTTTAAGATCAAAGTATTCTAATACGGATAAATTTCAGCCATAAGACGTTCGAACTTAGCTAACCCTTCACTATAACCAAAATAGTAAGTTGCTGAAACTAATTTGATGATGTCATTGAATTTTCCCCATTTTTCCCCCTATTTAATCCAGTAAAGCCATCTGTCCCTGTCTCTTATATACGATTTAAACTAAAAACATTTAAAAATAAACATAATAAATAAGAGGAGGAAAACCTCTTCATTTTGCCTTTCTCTAATCCATGAACAATTTCTCATGCGACCAGATGAAACCAATGTACCCCTACAATACCCAGATTCAAATTCAAGCATAAATTCCACCAGCCCGCAGAGACACACAGACGCATTTTCAACTCTATAACTTAATCGAATTCAAAACAAAGTGAAATTCAAACAAATCCAAACTCAATGCAAATGAAGCCTAGAAAAGGAGAAGCTGACCTCGTTGAGCTGCACGAGCAGTAAATGCAAAGCAGAGGAAGAGCGTCCACGTCAGAAGGAATCGAAACGATGCTATGTTCGGCATCTTCTTCTTCCTCTTTCTTCTCTCTCACATCCCAGGCATTTTTTTTTCTAGAGAGAGAAAGGGGAAGAGAGAGAGAGAGAGCGCGCTGGGACGTGTCTGCACTTGGCAGCAACACTATGGAATTTGGAAATGGAAATTCACTCGCTGCTGCGTTTAGTTGTTGACTCGTGAATGAAGCGAACAGCTGTCACGGTGGTGCTGAGCCTTATCACGATTAATGCAGGCGCGAACTGTCTCAACGGTTCTAATGCTTATTTAATGGTTCATGATTAATTATCACTCACTTGTCTGTTTTAGTTATTACGGTAGGTCTGCATTCTGCTGTACATCGTCACTGTTTGCGAGCCGAGCTTTTTTATCCAAAATTATTATTTTTCGAAAACAGATCTAAACTTATATTCAAATTAATTTTTACAACAAGATTTGAATTTGAAGAAAATTAAAAGATTAATTTATATTCCAAAGAACGTTAAACTTGTTGATAGTTATTTTAATCATACTTAAATGGACATGAGTGTGTTTCTTTTGTTTCTTTAGTTAGTTTTTTTTCTTTTTAAATTACAGAATTTTTTTAGTAAGAAATCATGTTTTATCAAGTTAAATAAAATTATTATGAATGATTAAAAAAAAATCTTATAACTCAAATTCATATGAACACAAACTTAGTTAAGTTGCATCAATCACACGCCAATTCATCCTTTGTTTTTGTGTTGTTTAGTTAATTCTTCTACTAGCATGTGAGCCCCACTTAATGTTGGGGATGGATTCACTTTTTGTTGTTGCTGTAAAACGACAACAGCAACGGGAGCGAGTGAGGGAGGTTTAGGTACGAAGCACAAGTTCACGGACAAAATATCAAATTAATTAATTAAACTACGCTGCTGAAGGAAATTACATGATTGATCTTGTGAGGAAAGAAGGAATATATAATTATATATCTTTAAATCGGACGGTTGAGAATAGTTGGATTAGTTTGGAGATGATGTTGACTTTGGAGACTGATTGGAACAGGGCGCAATCATCGGATAGGGGGAGAAGAAGGGTCAAAAAGTCGAAAGAATTCCATGCCCCTAGTCCTATCATCTTGACGTGAAATCGTGCAGTCACTTTTCTCCATTGGCTCTTAATTTAGTTTTCATTTTCTAATGAGTGAGGAATTATTACTTCAAAATAATGTGTTTTTATTTTTCAATAAGTGTTTGATTACAAAATAATTAGATTGAATAAAGTTTAAGCAATCAAAATGAGTTCTATTAAAATATATACGGTTTCCTAGTTTTATCTAAATTCTTGAAATAGTCCAAAGACTTTTATATTATATTTTGGTAATTAAGACCTTCATGTTATATAATTAAATATAATAAAAGTGCATTTGTATCAAGTTTTGTGAAATTATTCTTACCAGTTACATATATAAATTCAGGAATATAATATTTTTTATGTTTAGTTTATTTTTTTCCTACGTATAATTCTTTATGAATAAGTTATTTTTATATTTTTTCTCGTTTATTCCTAAATAGTGAGAATTCTTAAATTATGTACAGTAATGTTAGTTATACATTAACTTTTTGATACATACTTTTTTGTTAAGTGAGATTCATGTATGATTTTTTAAATATATAATGTTTAAATTTGATATCAACTAGTTAAATAATCATATTAATATATATAAGTAGTGAGAATAATTTTTATTTTATAAGTTAATTTTGTAAGGTTAAGATGTAACAGAGTCTATTCTTACAATTTTTGTTGTTAAACTTATTAGGTCACTTGTTATTAAATTGTTATCAAACTATTCATAAATATTCAATCTTGCAAATTTTACACTCATATGCCTAATTTTTAATGTAAAGATTGCATGTGACTTAGAAATATCACATTGACCAGTGAAATAAACATATTAATGTATACAAGTAAAGAACAATCTATATCTTATAAACTTGGCTAAACGACCATTGTGGGGCAGTTTTAGAAACTTATTACTAAAATGGGGCTGTTTTGAAACATTTTACACCTTTGGGGTTGTTTGCATGGGTGTCGCTATGGGCCATAGCGACACCCATGACACGTGGTTTTTTTTTTTTTGCTTGGTTGGGCTAGACCACTGTCGCTATAGGCTGAAGCACCACACCTGATGGGCTAAAAAAAATTATATAGCCCATAGCGACACTAAGCAAAGACAAGAAAATACGAAATTAATATTAATGTAGAATAAATATAATAAACTGAAAGTTATTATTATATAATTATAAAAAGAAAACAAATTTTTATAAAAAAGTAATTTTAAATAAATAATATGTATTTTTTTAAAACTGACGCTGTGGCCCATAGCGCCCTAAAGGAGCTATAGGTCATAGCGCCCCAAAAATTATTTTTTTGTTCGTTTTTAAATAATTTTTTTACATTATATTTACTTATTTTTTCAAATTTAAATTATTTATTATTTAAATTATTTTATTCCCTTTTATCTGTTAATTTTTTATAAATTTGTAAACAATTTTTGTATTTATAAAATAATATATATATTTTTCTCAACTGGCGCTATGGGCCACAGCGCCTGAGTGAAGCTTTGGCCCATAGCGCCCCAATGTTTAATTTTTTTTTTCGTTTTTGAATTATTTTTTTACATTATATTACTTATTTTTTCAAATTTACATTTTTTATAATTTGAATTAATTTTTTCCCTTTTATCTGTTGATTTTTTATAAATTTGTAAACAATTTTTGTATTTATAAAATAATATATATATTTTCCTTAACTGGCGCTATGGGCTACAGCGCCTGAGTGGAGCTGTGGCCCATAGCGCCCCAAATTTTAATTTTTTTTTTTTTCGTTTAGGAATTATTTTTTTACATTATATTACTTATTTTTTGAAATTTACATTTTATATTAAATGAATTTTTATTTTCCCTTTTATCTGTTAATTTTTGATAAATTTGTAAACAATTTTTGTATTTATAAAATAATATATATATTTTCCTTAACTGGCGTTGTGGGCTACAACGCCTGAGTGAAGCTGTGGCCCATAGCGCCCCAAATTTTAATTTTTTTTT